TTCGCACAACAGGGGTTGAACGGCGTGTCTCTCACTTGCGTGGGAGGGCCGTGGAATGTGCTGCTTCAGCCCGTCCCCAGCCCACCAGTCCGCCACTCCACACAACACAAACACAACCTGACGAACTGCATGAACCGAGAGCGGGCGTCAATCAGCAACCTTCCTATCCACGACGCTTGACGTGTCGGGATAGTCTCGAACTCAAGTCACCCGTGCAGCCGAAGCCGCATGGGGACCGAGTCGAGATGCGGACTTCCCACTTGCGTGGGAGGTGGCAGTTGGGTGCATGAGGTTGATGAGTGTTGATGTGTGTTGTTAATGGTGGAGGAGGGTAGGGAGTGAGTGAATGTGTGGAGTAACCGGCGGTTGTCTACCGCAGGTCGCCGTGGATGCGCATGTGGCCGAATAGGCCCATACGATCCCTGAAAGTGCGAGGACAGTGTGGGAAGTTGAGTCGAGCTTGGTGAGTGTAGGTCGGTGCTCCAGGCACTGGTTCGCCAGTCTCTGCGCGATGGATTCGCAAGTGACCGACCAGGCCGATGCGTGAGGTGAATATGCATGGACAGTGTGGGAATGTGGAGGCGGCGTTGTCAGCGTCAGCTACAGAGGAGGCGTTGGTGGTGGTGCAGACGGATAGTGCGAGGGTGGTGCTGGGCATGACGCGCGCTGTTGGTGTATCGGAATTTTGGTCAATTCTGCTCTCGTGGATCCGCATGTGGCCGAATAGACTCATGCGATGCGTGAAGGTGCGAGGGCAGTGTGGGCAGTGGAGGCGAGTGCGCTGGGTGTAGGTTGGTGCTCCAGGCACTGGTTCGCCGGTCTCTGTGCGATGTTTTCGCAAGTGACCGACCAGGCCGATGCGTGAAGTGAAGGTGCAATCGCAGTGAGGGCAGATGTAGTCCTGGCCCTCACGTCTGATGATGGAGGTTGCAGGGGTTGTGCCTGTTGTTGTGTCAGGTTCGGCTGTGGTGAAGTCGTGGGCGACAGACGCCGAAGCGGCCGTCGTTGAGGCAGTGAAGGAGGAAGAGGAGGAGGAAGGGGAGGAGTGAGGGGTGGTAAGGTCGGTGGCGTCGATGTCGGCTGGGGAGTGGTTAGTGGGTGCACAAGGTGATGGATTGGGAGTGGGGCTCGGCGGGGTGGGTGTGTCAACGCTGCGGTCAATTCCGCTCTCGTGGATGCGCATGTGGCCGAACAGGCCCATGCGGTGAGTGAAGGTGCCAGGACATTGTGGGCAGTGGAGGCGAGTGCGGTGGGTGTAGGTTGGTGCTCCAGGCACTGCTTCACCAGTCTCTGTGCGATGGATTCGCAAGTGACCGACCAGGCCGATGCGAGAGGTGAAGGTGCGGTCGCAGTGAGGGCATGTGTAGTCTTGATCCTCATCACTGGAATCGGGAGAGGTGGGGGTGGTGGCGGTTATTGTGTCGGGGTTGGTGATGTGTGAGACGGCAGTCTGAACGGCCGCCGCTGGGGCAGTGGAGGAGAAGGAGGAGGATGGAAGTGGTGGTGCAGAAGGAGTGTCAGAGTTGGTTGGCGGCAGAGAGGACGAGGAGGAGGCGGGCGGGGGGACGATGGCTGGAGCAGTTCGAGAGGTGCAGTTGATCCGAAGATGTCCAACAAGTCCGATTCGTGCCCGGAATGTCCGTTGACATCGAGGACACGTAGGGAGCGGTTGTGCGGCGGCGTTGCGTACTGGGCGAGATTGTGATTTGCGGGCTTCGCGTTTCACTTTGGCGGCGGCGATGCGGTTGGCTTCGTAGATAGCAGCGCCCGTCTTCACTGTTCTCCTCCATGTCGGACGATCGCGAGCGAGCTCTTCCCAGTTGGTCGGGTTGATTTGCAGGCGCTTCAGGGAGGACTTCAGGGTATCTTTGTAACGGCGAATTCGGCCTCCTTGACGACGAGAACCCGTCGCGACGTCTCCATAGAAGAGTCGTTTGGGTAGTCGCTCGTCGTCCATGCGCACCAGATGGCCGCTCCAGCGCAGCTGCATTTGTCTCAATATGGAGTAGATGCTCAGGATTCCCGTTCGTTCCAGTACTTCGGTGTCGGGGATGCGGTCCTGCCAGTTCAGCCTCAGGATGCGACGGAGACAACTGAGGTGGAAGTGGTTCAGTCGACGTGCCTGCTTTGTGTACACCGTCCAAGTCTCCGCTCCGTACAGCAGCGTCGACAGGATGACGGCCTTGTACATCTTCAGCTTTGTGCTCAGTTGGAGACCGTGGCGATTCCAGACTGTGCTTCGGAGGCGTCCAAAAGCTTGACTGGCTTTCGAGCTTCTGTTGGAGACTTCGTCATCGATCTTTGTGTTGCGAGATAGGGTACTTCCCAGGTACGGGAAGTTCTCTACCACTTGCAGTTGGGTCCCATTCACGTTGATGTGCGGCGCGTTGGGGGCTGTGGCTGAGTTGGGCGGAGGTTGGTGCATCACCACCGTCTCCTGCGTGTTGATAACCAGCCCAAAGTTCTCGCAGGCGGCGGAGAACAGGTCCATGCTGCGTTGCATCTCCGCTTCGGAGGTGGTGTTCAGGGCGCAGTCGTCGGCGAAGAGGAGTTTGTGAATGGTGGCTGTGGATACGCGCGATTGGAAGTTCATGCGCCGGTGATTCAGGAGATGACCGTCAGTTCTGTAGGCGATGCGGATTCCAGGGCGGTCGTCGCGGTAGGCGTCCGTCAGCATGGCAGAGAACATAAGACTGAAGAGGGTAGGCGCCAGCACACAGTCCTGCTTCACTCCGTTGGTCACTGCGAATGCCTCTGAGACAGCTCCGTTGTCCGTGACTCGCGCCATCATACCGTCGTGCAGCTGACGCACCATCTGAGTGAATCGCTCCGGACAGCCGAATTTCTGCATGATCTTCCACAGTCCTTCACGATTCACCGTGTCGAAGGCTTTCGTCAGGTCCACGAAGGTAGAGTACAGGTGGGTCCGCATCTCCTGGCAATTCTCCTGAAGTTGGCGGGCTGCGAAGATCATATCCGTGGTCCCACGATGACGAGGGAAGCCGCATTGGCTCTCCGGCAGAAGGCCCTGTTCCAGATGGTTGTTGAGCCGGTTGAGCAGGATGCGAGCGAAGATCTTCCCGGCGATGTTCAGTAGGGAGATGCCGCGGTGGTTGTCGTAGACTTGGCGATTCCCTTTTCGCTTGTATAGGTGCATGATAGTTGCGTCCTTGAAATCTTGCGGGACTTCACCTTGACGCCACATCTCCTGGAAGAGCGCAGTCAGGTGATCCATGAGTTGGGGACCTCCGTGCTTGTAGACCTCAGCAGGGGTTGCGTCCGATCCGGGTGCTTTCCCGCTGGAGAGTTGCTGCACGGCCCTGATGGTCTCCTGGAGAGATGGCGGGCGGTCGAGGTCCGCGTTGGTCTCGACTTGCGGCAAACGCGCGATGGCGGCGTCGGAGATGGCGGAAGGGCGTTTGAGGAAGCCCTGGAAATGCTCGGCCCATCGCTGTAGGATTTGCGTCTTCTCAGTCAGGAGAGTGCTGCAGTCGGCGCTGAGGAGAGGAGCAGTGTCCTTCGTCGGCGGACCGCAGACAGCTTTGATCGCGGAGAAGAAGTTCTTCCATTCCTTGCGGTCCGCGTAGCCTTGGATCTCCTCAGCTTTGCGAGCAGTCCAGGCGTCCTGCATCTCGCGCAGTCGTTGCTGAAGCTGTCGGCGACTGCGGTAGAAGGCAGCTTTGTTGTCCTCAGTGGGGTGATCTACGTAGGCTTTGTGTAGGCGGTTCTTCTCAGCAAGCAGATTTCTGATGGCGGCGTCGTTGTCGTCGAACCAGTCCTGGTGTTGGCGGGGAGCGCGACCAAGGACGGCGAGCGCCGTCGACTGGGCCGTGTCTCGCAGTTGACACCAGCGGTTCTCCACGGAGGCGTTCTCGGCAGCGGCGGCATCGGCGATGGGGGAGGTTGTCTAGCCGTTGAGCTAGCTCGTTTTTTAAATGGAGATGATGAGCGGGCAAAGACAACAAAGCAACATTCAGCTTACCTGGGGGTCGCTTACCTTGTGGTCTCCTGCGAGGCTGTAGGCGAACACGCATCTTCGAGATGACGAGGCGATGGTCGGTCCACCCGTCAGCACCCGCGATCGCCTTCGTCACCAGCACGTCCCGCTGATCTCGCCTCCGGACGAGGACATAGTCCAGCAGGTGCCACTGGCGCGACCGAGGATGCCTCCAGGTGGCCTTCTCTCGCTCCGGCAGACAGAAGAGCGTGTTAGTCAGGATGAGGCGGTGTTCTGCGCAGGTGCGGAGGAGCAGCAGACCATTGTCGTTGGAGCCGCGGAGACCGTGGGGGCCCAGCACTCCTCTCCAGGCAGTATGGTCTGTGCCGACGCGGGCGTTGAAGTCACCAAGGACAATCAACTTGTCCGCCTTCGACACAGTCGCCAAGAGGGCGTGCAGGTCCTCGTAGAACTTGTCTCTTGCGGCGGCGTCGAGGCTGCTCATCGGCGGAGCGTAGGCGCTGATGATGGTGGCGAATTTGCCTCCTCGCCGGAGAGGCAGGCGTAGACTCATCAGGCGATCGTTGATTCCCTGCGGTAGACAGGGCAGTCGTCCCACGATGTCGGTCCGGATGGCAAAGGCGACACCCGCGTCTCGTCGCTCTGCCCTGGGTCGACCACTCCAGAAGAAGGTGTAGCCGGCACCCACCTCCTCCAGTTGGCCTTGTTCGGAGAATCGGGTCTCGCTGAGTGCGGCGATGTCCACCTTGTAGCGCGCCAGTTCTCGTGCCACTAGCGCCGTCCTCCGTCCCGGTCGGTTGCTCCTCGGATTGTCTAAAAGGGAACGAAAATTCCAGGCTGCCAGAGTGAGCGGGCTCACCCTGCCAGTCTGGCGACTGCGGCGGCGAAAAGTAGGAGTAGGAGAAGAAGAGGAATAGGCTGGAAGAGGAAGAGAGTGATTGTTGTTGTTGTTGTTTCGGTTTTGGCTGTTTCGACCGTGTGTTTTTTGTCTGCGGCCACGGCCAGCCTACAGACAGCGTGGTTCCCAGCGATCTTTAGGGCACCTTTTCTAGCCCCCTCCCCCTCGCGGGGGCAGGCAACGCATCCCTGAACAGGGCTGCCCGGTTATCCCAGACGGCTGCCGGACTCCACTATGGGCCACGACTTTTTGTTAGTGAGAGAACGACCCGAATTAGCCTGGGACCTTGGTGGTGGTGATGATGTGATGGAGGGAAGTAGGAGAGAGCATACACACTACCTAACGCTATGGGACTTAGAACTAGAGTGGACAGGCGGACACAGTCATCAGTCAGAGACAAAGTGAGGGCACAACACAAAGTCAAGCACCGTAACATCTAGCTATTAGTAGAGAGTGGCATAGACTGGCGGACAGACAATCGCAGCAGGTATCAAGAGTTTCATCTAGATAATAACAGACAGACTAGCATACAGAGGGCAGGCAGCAAGAGCAGCATACGACACGGAACTTCAACAGACAAAAGGAAGAAACAGAGCAAATGCACTTACCTGAGGGGGAACTTACCTGGTGGCCTCCTGCGATGGTCCAGGCAGAGCCTCGTCTCGACGATGTCGACGCGAAGATCCATCCGGCCAGCGCAGACCACAGTACCGCGTGTGCAGGTGCACGCACGGATACCCTCACCTGGTTTAGCCCGCCGGTCGAGACGGTTGCCCGGGGTGTGGCCGCTGAGCAGAGCCCAGCTACGTGGAGCCACAGGTGAGAGTTAGGTCACACACACACTGACAGTTCGACCATCGATTTCGATGCTGTCCACCGTGTGCCCCACAGCAGGTTGGAGCAGGGACGGTGACTTGCACAGGGGTTTATAGTGTCAGTAGACTTGCGCTGCATCCACCTACACTCTCTCCACCTCCCTCGCCCAAGCCCGGTGTCAAGACAGAGTCAAGAAGACCGGAGACGAGGGAGGCCGCAGGTGGATGGCTCGGACGGATCCTCACCTTGGCGTTCCACCACACCCCCTGGTCCACACAACACACACACACACACACACACACACACACTAAATCTGTCAGACCTCCGGGACTTGCTTTCACCGCGATGCTCACCAACATTTGTAAGCAGGGCTGAGTTATCATGGGTATGCTTGTGTCAGTGGACGGCGACATCTTCTTAGAAGCGACTGGATGAAGGATGGAGGGGAGAGGGAATGAGATCGATCCAGCTAACATCAAGTGCGTAATTTCCTCCTCTCGCCTATAAACAAGAAGGTGTGTTTTGCATTGCCAAGACGCGTTGAAGTTCATGGCTTAGATGGTTTCCGACTTGCGTAATGACGCGTCCCTGCTTGTGATTTGGGGTTAGACTGTACTGCATACTTCTTGCCTTAGTTTATATGGCAGTCTTACCCGTGCGTTTTGCGCAGCCCCTAAATGAAGCCTAGTACTTGGGATATTTAGAGACCGTAGCATGCGTAGGCTGTGTTATTGGACTTTTCGGGGCGTACATTAAATGCCACCTCTTCTGTCATTCGTTGTCCCATCGTATGCGGCCGTATAACCTTCGTTTTACAATGGAATGGCAATAGCTCGTATAGTCTTCTTACAGTCTCTGGATACAGAAATCCGACCTTGCCTTGTTTATATGTAACTGGTTGTCGTAAGCAGCCTAGCCATCTAGGATCGGTCGTTTAACCGATTGGGCTGTCGTTAGGATAGATTGGTAAAATTATTCTTTAATTTATCTAGCGGTTTCGCTTCCAGTCAACAGAACTGTGAGCGTGCCTCAACAGCAGAACACCCAACTTAGTGACTCGATTCCCCCCCGGCTTCCGGATTTGACTATGTACGCCTGTCTCAAGGCCTAATTGAAACATTAACAACCAGCACATATTTCCTTGTTTTGTCGGTAGCACTGCTTGATAAGTGCGTCGCCCTAAACGCAAACTGCTTCTAAACGGTCACTTTTAAGTTAGTGGAACTCCCTTTCTTCCAGTTAAAAAATACTCCTTGTGATCGCTTGATCCCTAGCGCCTGTGTATTCGAGACCTTGCGTCGAGCGAAGATGACACTGGTGAAAAAATATTTCTGCCTTTTTGGAAAAGCTGCATAGTAAAACCACATCTTTGAAGAAAAGATCTCCTGAGCGTTGTTTATCTACAGCCACAACCTCTTGGCTCAGCATAGTTGAGTGACCGCTTGGCCACTTGAAGCCATATGACGCACGTGACTTTAGAATTAGTCATATCCTGAAGCACTTGGAGCATGTACCGATCGGGACGGGTTAACCAAATGCGGGTAGATGGCGCCTAGCAGGTCCGGTCGAGCACGTAGGTTGTCGCGACAACCACCTATCTGGCCCAGCTGTCTGCCTGATTGGTCGGCTGCAACTAGTTAATTCGCCAAGTCCTTACAGGCCTGAGTTTTGATTGGTCGGCGGCTAATTTTGCAGCTATGACCACAGAAACATAGGCGTAATGAAAAGGATTTCCGTTTGAAACGAGCGTCGTGAACCTCCACAAGTTGAGGCCTGTCTCCGACGCATCGTACGAATTGGCAAGTTGTCTTGAGACGACATGGAAATGGATAGAAAAATAGCGCGCACGGGCCATGATTACAAACGATCAGCACGTGGTTCCGATTCGACTCGGTGATCCTTTATTTTGTCAATACAGCAGGTGACTGAGTTGGTTAACTGAGCGGAAATCGAGATGATTAGTCTGGGAAACCTCGAACGTAATGCATTTGGTGTATTAGCTTAACGCCTTACGGAAAAAGTTTCTTCTCCAGCAAAATGGGGTTCTAAGCTACTTTATTAAATTTAACAAAGTCCATCATTTTGGGTGGGAATCAGCTTTATCCTATGCTCACACAAGCTCCTATGTTAATAAATGTTCAGGACAAAATCTGCGTACTTGTGTTTGTTTCATTAGCAGACGGTCTTACTCATAGCGAGGGAGATGCCGTAACAAGCGACGTCAGCTGGGAACTTGATTGTTCAGTCTGCGTAAACCAAGTAAGGCAAAAAGTGAGCAAGCGTGTTATTTCCAGTAAAACGGGCGACTTTTTCTGTAAAAATTGTAATTTTTAAATTTGTGGTTTCGGCCAAAAAATTTGTAATAACGCCGACAGGTGAGCTTTTGGTCTAGTCCACCTCTAATTCCCAGCAATGCTCATCAAAGAGTTTCGTCGTGGAGGTGGATTTTCTTCGGTGATTAGGTTCCATGTCTGGGAGAGTCTGTAAATATGGCCCAAACTACCCTCTGTGTAGAAAAGAACGACCGAGAGCACACTTGATCGCCAAAAGTTGTCGATAACGGTCTTATTATGATGATTAAACTATGGAAACCATCTTTTCTGGCAATCGATTAGGAACTCAGAAAATCCCGAAGCATTCATTGACATTTTAAGACCATCTTGGAATGCAGTTAACTCAACCGTCGCCAGGAAACAAGACAATTTCGCGGTAGAAGAAGTCATTTGATATACAGGAAGGAATATGCTTATCATTACATGGCTGATTTTATTCCAATTTCTCAACCACCAACACGTCCAAAGGCATGTGACCTTATTTCTGGGACGTATCTATCTACGAAATCAAGTCCACTGTCTTTCGTCCTAGTCAACCACGCCTGCTAAAAGCAAAATCAAAAAGGCAATTTGAATTCTTGTAAAATCCCTTCGAAGCACATAATAAAACAGTTAGCTAGCTGGTACGAATCTTCGCTCTAGGGCAGTTCCGCTTCTTCTTTCTTGCCGCTAACCAACGCAATACTACCTTTAAGACTTGCTTCTTCCTTCGTCTGAATTGAGGGTCGTTCCTTATTCATAAGGTGAGCTAACTCCTTAACGTGACCTCCATGGTATCCTAACGCATGTGAAATCAGAGCCTCCCACCCCGACTTTGTGAAGACCTGGTGTGTTGTGCGAGCGTCAGGTCTCCTGTAACACGCGAGGATGGGCTGTTTAACTTTGCGAACCGCCTGCGCCCAATCACAGTTGACTGAGCAGCCTGGACAGTGGACTGGTGCATGTGAGAAGGAAGAGCGGCTAGGGTCCTGTGGACTCCAGCCAAAACACACACACACTCAGCGTATACTCCCCACTATAAACAGTATGACACGTTTTTAAACTATCACAGTGAGTTAGGAGCCGGGGCCTGGAAGGCTGCGACCTAACGGGATAACTCGGTCCTTCTCTCAGGAAGGCGAGCTAGGCTGCAATTGTTCCTTTTGAATGTGGTCTCTATGGCACTGCCACTCAGATGGGATCTGGGCTGCCACCTTGTTTCTATGAAATCCTGGTTTATCGTGAGCGGACCAGGTTGTGGGTGGCAGATGAGCCGTTTAGATTTATCAGCCACTGCATTCCGCTTCAACTGCGGTCCGCCTGACTCACTCTTGACACTGGGCCAAGGAGGGTTATAAGAGGAGAGGACGCGGTAGATGCTGGTATGTCTGCCATCTCTATAAACTAATTCACACTCGACTCCCTGTCCTGCGCCCACTTTGTTGTGGGGCTTAGGGTTGGCATCATCGTTCTCGACGGTCGAATTGGCGGGTGCGCTAGTAGATGCATTTTAGTCGATTTCTAATTTGATACGGATTTTTCCCGAATTTGCGCATACTTTTTATGTTACGTAGCCTACCATATGCCAGAAGTGCACGGGTAACCACATCACGACTGCACGAACACTTCCAGCCCGTCGTTGCGGATAGATTGTCGTTTTACAATGACGGTTTGTCGAAGATACCTTATCATAGATATATTGCCGGCAAATGCCGCACACAGCTACGAAAAAACGACACCATTTAGGACGGCTTGAGAAAGTATGATCACAGTCATAGCAAGCACTTACAATCAATGCATTAAGGGTCCCTTTCAAACGTACCAGTGAGCCTCGTGTATAGCTATACCTCGTCCCGCCGTGGCACCAGACTCATATGAACTGAACGTAGTTATTTTAGCAAAAGCAATATTGCCTTCAAATTGGCCGTCGTTTATTATTAACTGGGTGTTATGGCCGATGCATTTAAGCTGGTTTCTGAGCTATAAGGGGTTTTTGTAAATTTACGAATGTTCCGTTTGTTATGCCTCAATATACTGTAAAAACAAACCTTGTCGGAATGCGTAAGGGGTCTCATAATCTAACTAATATTTAGCAGAATTGAGGACAGTTCACCAACAAGAAAAGGAGCACTGGAGTAGTCATTTTTCTAGGTTACTGACAGCATCATCCAGTTATACCCCTAAGCTCAGGTGTTTTCTTAGCTCAACTTGAGGACCGGAGCCAGTTGAAAATCTAGCAAGGCGCTAACCATTGCACTGTGTACTGATGTCGTCTTGGTGAAACAGAAAACATTCAGTCACATGACAGTAACGTACACCAATCTCTTATGACTACATGGTTAAAGTTAGGTTTAGGTTGCTGTCGGCTGGTAAGCCAGAAATGGCCACCCTATTGTCTTTGCTTGTGCTGGTCGAAGCTGTTGGTTATTGTTTTCTAGTATCCATGCCATCAGCAGCCTCGGCTGCAGGTCCTCCGTTCTAGACCAAAATTGAATCATTCTTATTTCGTCCCGCAAACAGGATGCGCCAAGGCGTGCCACTCTCATGTGGGAGATGTTGG